AGTGGGGTCTTCGGCCTGCGTCCAACCAGTGGACGCTGGCCAGCTGACTACGGTGCCAAGATGACTCATCTCCGGGATTCGGTTGGTCCCCTCGCACGCAGCGCCGAGGACATTGCGATCCTGGACAGCATCGTGACGGGAGAAGAACCCCACGGGGAAGCGTCTCCGGAAGAGATCAGGATCGGGGTTCCTCGGCCTCTGTTCTGGGAGGCTCTGGATCCTGAGGTGGAAGTCTATGCAGAGCATTTCTTGGCAAAGCTGAAGGAGAAGGGATTTACTGTGGTTGAGGGGCCAGAAATTCCCGGCTCTAGGGAGATGCTGGAGCATCACTTCATGCCGACAATCAACCACGAGGTCTTAGCTCGGCTTGATGATTACCTCAGATACCACGGCCACAATGTCTCTGTTCAGAGCGTCATCGACAAGATTGCCTCGCCAGACGTCAAGGCCCTGTTTGAATACGCCAGGGACAATCCTCCCACGGAGGAAGTAATGAAGTCTGCCATGGCCGCCAGGGCCAAGGTCCTTGAGGACCTGAGGACCTACTTCAATGATCGCCGCCTCGACTGTATTCTGATGCCGGCCAACAAGATCCCCGCGCCGACCCTGCACGCGTTTGAAGAGAACAACTCCAAACTGTTGGGGCTCATCACGCAAAATGACGACTTCGCGAATATCTGCAACAGCCCGTCCCTGGTAATTCCCGGCGGGTTCGCCCGGCCGAGTGGGGTTCCCTTCGGCATGCAGATCGAGAGCTACACGGGCAGTGACAGGCGGCTGATCGCTGTGGCGGTGGCTATAGAAAAAGCAGCGAGATCCTAAATGTAGAAAGTGACTCAAGTATGTTTGGGTTCACTTGGGATCCTCTGTGCTAGAAAAGTCAAAGTGATTTTAGAATGAAGAAATAAATATCCATAATGGATTAGCGTACACCAGTTTACCCGGAAATCCTAAGAGCACTTTCCTTTATTGCATGCACGTGTATGTCAGCATTATTCTGACTGGAAACACGCAGTTCCATGAATTCGTAAGGGGTAGACAATCGATTTGGAGATTGTGTTGTTTGTGTTTTTGTTGTACGTTTTGTTTTGTTGTATTCTATTCTTGGTCACTCATTTGGACGCTGTTGAATTTAGACAATAGACACCAATGCAATGGTTGAGAATTATCTTTGCTGTAATTTGCGGAAAAGGCCATATTTTTGTACTAATTTTGCGGAAAAGCCTTTCTTTTTGTCAAGAGATGTGTCTTCGCCTTATTCTTCTCCCAAAACTCCACACGTTTTACGTTTTTCTACCCTGGACTTTAATCCTTTTTCAATCTGACATTTTCATCATACCTACACAAATCAAAGACCTACAAGGGCACATTTGCTTCTGTCATGATGACGTCATCACAGGTCACTTGTCACACCCTCAAAGTTTTCTTTTCTTTTGGCCTGTATCGCCTGGACTATCCGATTAGGTTGAAACTTGGTACAGATATAAACCAATATGTTTTATGTATGAAATTTATGTATGAAAATCGGAGTAATGTCATACTGACCTTATCAAGTTATTTTAATTTTTTGGTATCGTTCCATCTTTTAACAGTTTTTTCAACGTATCGTCTGATCAAGACACTGGTATTTTCATTTTTCGCTACTAGAGAGCAAGTCGTGAATTTTGGTCTCAAATATTGACGGCAATGTTCGCGGAGAGAGAGCGAGTGGTGACTTTGGTCGTTGATATTGGCGTCAATATTTGCAACGGAAGAGTGGGTCGTAAATATGGTTGCAAATATTGATACTTGATATCGCAAATATTAATGATTGGGGATGTCCCTCCAGGGCCACCATACAAGCTAGCTTAGGCTTTGAACGATGCGAGTGCTAGTGTGGTGCGAACTAGCCCAGGGTGCTAGTGAGAGTTGTCAAATCGTAGCGGCCCAGGCGATTGCCAGGCGAGACACCCCCGTGTCCCCCGTCCCCATGTCCCCGCCCCCTTGTCCTGCTAGCTAACCCCGGTCCACCCTGTGTCCACCGTGACTCTGAGTCAAAGGTGCACAGTGCGGTGATTCGATCATTGCACTCATACATTA